GAGCCTGGCTGGCTGAGCAAGCCGCGTTTCTGTTGCTCTGCAGAGGAGCAACAGCTCTGCAGAGGAAACAGCAGCAGCAGTGGGGGCTGGGGGTGGTTTAGCCCTCAAGTTTCGGCATGGGGAGATGAACACCCCAGTGAAGTTCATGCTTGAGACTGCTGTACTTACCCTGCAGGATGTGGTTTGAAGGCAGTACAGCTGGGTTTACCATACAAAGCATTAAACATCAAGGAGGGAGATCGCAAGATACAGAGAGCACTAACCCCTGGCAGCTCTGACACTATTCTGGGTCAGGTTCTCATCTTTTGCAAATCAGCACTGCTCCAGGGAAGCTCACTCAGCCTGGCCATAGGGAGCACTGCCACGGCTGGGATGTGAGAAGCCCGGATTGCTCCAGGTGTACAAATTTTACTTCAAGCTACACCCTGGTGCTTCTCCACTTTATAGGGCCATATACTTGCCTACTGTTTGCCCCAACCAGTGCCATCCCACGCTCTCCTTATCTCAGTGGGATCAGTGCACATCCAGTGACAACATCCTCTGTGTTAGCTGTGCTACAGAGCGTTGCTGTGTCCTCCTGGGGCGAGGCACAGAGCCCCCCACAGCCAGCCCCGTTGTAAATGCTGCCGCTGCGCCCTGCTGAGGGTGTATACAGCCATCTTTGCTGCTTGTTTTTGAGGTCTGATGGCCATGAAACTGCTGTGAACCAGGCAGCCTGATGGTCACTTCTTTTAACGAGGTCCTGCTCAGAGGGTTCAGAAGGAGGGCACAGCACATGTGGCCTGTAACAGCTGTATCAGGCTCACCCTGCACCAGAGCAGTTTAAAGGGAAATACCGTGAAGATGTGAAGAGCAAAATGTTGTTGTGTAAAGAGCTGACACCACCGGAAAATAGTAGCTTTCTTCTTCACTAAGCCTCATCACTCAGTGACTCCTGTATGGACATGTGCAGTGCACCCACAGCTGTGCACAGACAAAATATTGTTTGCTGTGTCAGACAGACCAGATTTGTGGCCAGTTTTCATCGAGTATGAATCCGAATGTGAGCTCTTCTCGTGCTTGTATTGCACCATTGAGTCACAAGCAAGCTCTGAGCCTGGTGCCCTCTAAAGCCTTAGGTACGAGGAGCCCGGATTCTGAGAAAAGCAGGAAAACACAGCCTACAGCTGTACGCAACTGGCTCATGGGGGATGACCTGGTTTCTGAGGTTTCCACCTGCTAGCTGATCCTGCTTGCTATCTGCCTCCCATTTTGTCCATGCTCAGGCAGAGGAGTGTGGGGGAGCCTCCCAGGAACATTGGAGCTGCAGGGACTGAGGGCTGCCTCTGGCCTTCACTACCCGGCCAGCTCTGCTGCCACGTGTTTTGCATGGTCTGTGCTGCAGTTTTCGTCCCCTTCACAGTTTCCATTTCCTTTTTGGGTCTAGCCCACACGAGCTTTTCCGGGCAGCCAGCCCAGCTTGCTTCTTTGCTCATACTTCACCCCTCGAAGCACTGAGGCTACCTGCAGGCTAGCTGGGTGCCAGGGACCTGGCAGGCCTCTGAGGCTTGGAGACTGCACTTAGATGCCAGGCCCTGCATGTGCAGAGCAAACATCCTATTGTTCGCTGCCTCCTGCCACCCCCAGCTCCGGCCAGGCACTTAGCAGGAGTGATGCAGACCCTGCTGAGTGTTGCTGTGCTCCTGCTGTCCCCGCTCCCCAATTCTGGGCCTGGATGTCATTTGAGTCCAGGCACAGAGGGGTGGCACTGCCACAGACCCCTGCCTGCCCTGGCAGAGCAGTGTCCTACCAGAACAGGCAGCAGGGATCCAGGCAGATCACATCCAGCTCTGATCTTCCCCAGTGACTGTGTGGGTCTTTGGGCCTTAACACAACTGATGGAGCAGAGAGGCTATGGAAAAGGCTCATCTTTAATCAGAGGAATACAGAAATGCAACAGGTTGTGTAAAGAGCACAATGTTACAAGCAGCCCATCGTTGCAGGGATCTGGAGGGCTCTCCAGGCAGAAAGCGACACCATCTTCTGCTAGCACTGAGTTCGCAAAGGCAGGGCCAGGGCCACGTGTTGGTGCTCTCTGGTACTGGCAGTGGCTTTGTTGTAACAGTAATCCTGGTGTGAAGGAGTCAGTCACTGGCCCTGCTGTCTTCCCACTTCACTTGCGGCCCTTGGTAGGTGCCAGCCGGCTGTATTGTCCATCGTCCCGCTCACCAAGGGGCTAAGGGGAAAAAAAAAGGCAAGGTGAGCTACAACTGTGCCTGTCCAGCCCTGGGTACAGGGGAAGCTGGCATAAACCTCCCTTTGCCAAGATTCTGGCAAGCTCCCTTGAGTTGAATGACCCCAGAGCATGGGGTAGCTGAGCCTGCTCCATCCTCTGCATCACTCAGGGAGAGGGAGCTGTCAGCTCCCCAGCAGAGAGTAATTTCCAACCTCAAAGGCCACTCTCTCATTATGGTCACACCACTGCAGCCCTGTGCAGCTCCTGCCACCCATGCACACACACCCAAATACGTACACACGAGTGCACGCATGCTCACCTGGTAGAGCTGCTCGTTGGCAATCAGGTTCTGCCTGTCAGAAGCTAAAGAAAGAAAGACAGCGGTCAAAGATCGGGGAGATCATGGGCAGTGTGGTGAGCATTTGCAGACAAACCCAAATGGCTGGCTGCTTTGAGCTCTGTGCTTTTATTTCTTCTTGGAGACGTGGTAGACGTGCATCTTGCACCCTGAAAGGCCACCACGCAGCTCCTAGAGAAGCGCAGGCAGCTAGCAGGGCTCTCCCCTCACCTCGTGACATGCGTCCCTTGTCCTGGCCACTGATGCAGTACACAGCAACCATCAGGAGTACGGTGGCGATAACATCTGCAACCACAATCCCCGAGATGGTGGGAGCGTCCACTTCGATGCAGTTCTGGCACACTGGAAGCATAAAAGGACACAACAACTGAGAGCAGGACCCCGACCCAGACCCTCACCCTTGGCTCCAACCCCAGTGGCTGCCCTGCCACCTGGGCCCGTCTGAGCCGGGACAACCTAGGACAGGAGCTGGCAAGACTTTCACCAACTGGCAGAACCAGCCACAAGCTCTGTGAAATCAGTATTTCTCTTAAAAATTTGCCTAAAAACTCCAAGCAGTCCTGTAGCTCTAGAAACAGGGCTTCTGGCACTTACTTCGATAGTACACCTGGAGAACGAAGCGGTCAGTTCCCTTTTCACAGGCATAGGTGCCTCTGGGATCATCGTACATCGCACCCAAGTCCAGCTCCGTTGTGTTTGCTATCCGCTGATTATCTTTGAACCATATTACTTCTTTGTGTGATCCACAGATCAGGTACACCTTCTCATTTTTTTCTTTCACAATTATCATCTGTCCTGTAAAATCAAGGAGAGCAGAGAGCTTGACAGCTGAATCCCCTCGCAGTGGTGCAGAACTTAGGAGCCTCACTCAGAGATGGCTGCTGCAGACAGCATCGCGTTAGGCTGTCCCTCAAGACACGGAAAGGACACTGCAAACAGAAACCCCTGCAAAAAAGCAGATTGCCCAGTGCAAAAGCAAAAATAGGTGGTTACTTAATGCAGCTCTGGGTAGTGTACAGATCCAAATCGAGCAAAAACGAACTGGAACCAGGTATTTACCTGGACTCCATTCAGACTGCGTGTTGGAGCCTCATCCTGCCAAGAGATGGCTTTGGTAATGAAGTGCAACTGCAGCAGAGACCTTTCAACAGCGAGTGAAAGGTTTTTACCAACAAGGACAGGAGCTGAGCCCAAACAAGCGAGGCAAAACCCCACGGAGGGTGATACTGAAAACGAACTTCAATACTTGTTGCACCAAATCGCTCCTTCCTCCCTACCAACACCCGCCAACCTCACGCCAAGGAGCTGTAATGGAAAACCCCAGCCTCAAAACCCCGGAAAAGCAGCACAGCACGGTGGGGGTGATGTCCCCACGGGGTACAGCACCCGACGCGCTGGGGACTTACCTTGGACACCCAACCCGGCCACGGCCACGCTGGCGAGGAGCGCCCAGGCGCCCAGGGCCTGTCCCCTGTGCATGGCGTGAAGCAGCGGCAGCAGTTTGGGGGGCAGGAAGAGGAGCCAGCTCCTCTCACGGCGTGATGCGCCACCCAGCTCTTTGTCAGGCGGCGGAAACCTGGGGGCTGGGGCCTCCTCCTGCGAGGCAGCGAGGACTGCCTCCTCGCCCAGCCCTGACGCCCATGGGAGGGCACGATGGGCCTGAAGCAGCGGGTCCCCCGGGTGCCTACGGGCCCCCACAGCACCCATGGGTGCCTCAGAACCTGTGGGTTCCCATCAGCTGCCATGGACGTGCCCAGCACCCATGGGTCCCCAGTACCATGGTCCCCCCTGGCTGCTATGGGCCCCTGGCTGTCATCCCTTCCCCCCTAGTACCCATGGTCCCCCCAGCACCCACGGACCACCCAGCACCCATGGACCCCCCAGCTGCCATTGTCCCCCCAGCACCCATGGGTCCCCTCAGCCACCATGGAACCCCCAGCGCCCATGGGTCCCCAGCTGTTATGGTCCCCCGCAGCTGCTACAGGCCCCTGGCTGCCATTCCCTCCCCCCCAGCACCAATGGGCCCCCCCAGGACCCAGGGGACACCTCAGCACCCATGGGTGCCCAGCTGCCATATGCCCCCCAGCTGCTGCAGAACCCCCAGCACCCCTGCGTCCCTCAGCTGTCATTGCACCCCACAGCACCTATAGACCCCCCTCCCAGCACCCAGGGACCCCTCCCAGCACCCAGGGACCCCCCCAGCACCCACAGGACCCCCCAGCACCCATGGGTGCCCAGCTGCCATATGCCCCCCAGCTGCAGCAGGACCCCCAGCACCCCTACATCCCCACGCTACCACTGCTCCCCACAGCACCTATAGACCCCCAGCTGCCCCGGATCCCCCCCCCAGCACCCCGAGGAGGCTGAGGATGAGGGGGATGAAGGAGGCGGGGGCTGTCCCCGGCTGTCCCCGGCCGCCCGCCATAGCGCCGCCTTCCCGTGGTGCCGCGCGGGCGGCGGGGCCATGGCGGCTCCCGCGGGCTCCTTGGTGGCCGCCGTGCTGGCGACCTCGGGCCGCCTGGACAAGGAGGGGCTGGGCACCCGCATCGGCCGCCTCGCCCGCCGTGTGGAGGAGCTCAAGGCGCGGGCAGGGCCGATGGGGGGCCGGGGGTGGGCGGAGGGGGGTCGGGGAGGAGGAATTTGGGGAGGTTGGGGGAGGCGGGAGGGGCCGGGAGGGAGGAATTGGGGGGCCCGGGAGGGGCTGAGGGAGGCCGGGGGTAGCTGAGGGGGAGGAATTGGGGTCCCGGGGGGGGAATTGGGGTCTCGGCGGGAGGAATTGGTGGTCTCGGATGGGATATTGGGGGTCCCTGAGGGGGGAATTTGGGGTCCCGGAGGGAGGATTTGGGGTTCCCGGGGGAAAAATTGGGGATCCTGGGGGGGGGATTGGGGTTCCCCTGGGGGATCTGGGGGTCCCGGGGGGAGCCGTGAGAAGCCGTGAGGGAGGAGTTGGGGTCCCCGGGGGGGGAAGATTGAGGGGCTCGGGGGGCACCGTGAGGGGCCTTGGGGAGGACCTGGGTGCCCTGGGGGGAGGAATTGGAGGTCCCAGGGGAGGTCATGAGGGGCTGGGGGATGAATTGGGGGTCCTGGGGGAAGGACTTGGGGGTCCTGGGGGTCTCTGACCGTGGCTTTGCCCCCTGTGCCCCCGCAGGGAGAGGTGTGCTCCGCCATCACCAGCAAGTACAGTGAGTTCCTGCCCAGCGCACGCAGCGCCGAGGAGCTGGTGGCACAGGTGGACGGGCTGTCAGGGAGCATCGAGCTGCTCAGGGCCGGCATCGAGGAGCAGGTGGGACCCGCAGGGCACCCCCCGGCTGCTGGCAGCTTCCTCAGGTCCCACTGCACATCTGTGGGCCTTCAGCTGCTGTGTGCGGGGGGACAGGGATGGAGGACACGGGCCTGAAGGCTCTGGATGGCCTCACACCTAAAAAATGATGGCACGGGTGTACGTCCCATCTGGGGTGTGACTGAGAGTAATTGAGGGGTTGTTGGTCGTAGTTAGCGTGTTGTGCACTTGGAAAAGTGTGTCGCACGTCTCCAGAGGAGAGAGAAGGATCCACCTGGGTGCATCGCAGTAGGGTGTGATGCAGTGACAGATGGGCTGAGTGTTGGTCCCACGGGGATTTGGGGCAGAGAGGGCACTGAATGTGCACCACCCAAATCCTGGCACATGGCCGTGCACGTTCACACAGCCATGAAGGAGAGTGTGAGCAGGCCCTGCAGGCCGGATCCTCTGCTTTTGTGCTTCTTTGATCGACTGCAACATGACTTGAAGGAGTGGCCTGTGGTGTTCTTCACAGAAAAGCATGATATGTTAATAATGCAATGAAAACCAATCTAATGTAAATTAAAAGTAATAAACAGCAGCAGTTAAACACACACACACACACACACACACACACACAAATCATCTTAACTAAACCAGGTTAAAATAAACAAAGTTTAGATATGTTATTAGATATGTTAACTGAGCTAGCTTTTTACTCACTTCAAGTGATTTTGCATTTAAAATGGCTATGTTAAAAGCACACTCAACTCCTTTTGATAGCTTTTTGATACTAAGTTGCCTTCCAGTGCCTTGACAAAACCTGTAATGTAATAAAAACATAAACTAGTATGGAAGAGTTTCCAGTAGGGAAATGGTAAGTATCTTTCTAGCAGGGAGTAAAATGGAATGCCATAGAAATCGAAGATAGAGACATTATCAAATGCCAGAGCAGATAAGTTGTTAACACTGAGTCTTCCGTCTTCCTCACCAAATTGCTCTATTAGCAGAAATACTCTGTATCTCATTGTTGTCACTTTTAAGAGAAATCTGTTAATGTTTGGTTGCTGTCTGATGAAAAATTTCTTATTTTAGGTTCAACGAGACCTAAATGTTGCTGTTGCTGAATTTACTGAATTGAAGCAGCAGCTGGAGCGAGACACACTGGTTTTGAGTATTCTGAAAAAGCTACAAGAGGTGAGGAAGGGATGTGCATGTTAAAATCATTAAGTGGTGGTTGCTGCTCAGTTTGTGGCTTTATTCGGGGCTTCTCCTTTGAATAAATAACTATAACTTGTGTGTCTACTTGTGTTGTTTAAAATCATGTAACAGCACATCTGCTGTTACATGATCCTATTTGGTTGTTGCAGTTTGATACAGCTATGAAAGAGTACAACACTGCGTTGCTGGAGAAGAAGTATGTTGTAGCAGCTCAACAACTGGAAAAGGTAATGACTTCTTAAGCGTGTGGCAAAATTGTTGATAAATACTTTCAATAAATGTGACAAGATCCTTTTCAGTAACAGGGGCAACAGTTACCCATGTTTTTTGTTTGACCTTTACCGCCAGGCACGAAGCAGCCTGAAAATGCTGGAATCCCGTAAAGGCTTTGAGCTGAAGATCCTGAAGGCACTGGGCACAGAGCTGACGGTGCAGACACAAAATATGCTCTATCATCTAGGAGAAGAATGGCAGAAATTGGCTGTATGGAAGCTTCCTCCTTCAAAAGGTGCTTACAGTTCTAGTTTGGTGCACTATTTTTGCCTCGCTATTTGAAATAATCCTGGTTTCAAGCACCTACAAGATATGAAATAGAGTAATATTGTTGAATTAAGGTTGGTTTAAGGAGAGATTTCCAGAATTTTTGTTCCGACTGTATATATTCTCCTGCTAGGGTAGTTTTAAGAATACTTTTATCTTCTCTGGTAGGTTTTTGGCTGCTACTTTTGTTGCAGCTGCTCTAGAATTTGTATGTTGGTGTCTTCATTAAAACACAAACTTTTCCTTTGATCAGATTTAACTTACAATGGGGACAAGGGGGGTGATTGTCTCTAAATGTCAATGTCATGGCAACTGAAATAAGAATTCTGCAGATTTGCCCTGTACTGAAACACAAGGTATTTGTTACTCTCTTCTGATGCTCTTTTATAGGAACTTTATTTTGTGGAAATGGGGAGAGGTAGCATATCATTTTAGTTACTAGATGAGGAATGCAGTAGGTTCTCAGACCTGCTGTATCTTAGACCACATTCTAATAGGTGTTTCTACCTTTTCTCTAGAAAGTAGCAGCCCGGAGTCAGCGATGCATTCAGAATTGCACTTATGCACACTGCCATCAAAAGAGGAAGAGATTGCTGGCCTGCCTGTTGCTTCTGTGCTGCAGGCATTTGCTATCCTTGGAGAACTGCGCACCAAGCTTAAAAGTTTTGGTAAGACAGACCTTGTATCCACACAGCTGTTGCAGCCCTAGTGGATATGAGTTTAGGCTTGTTTTAGGATGGATATTAAGATCCAGTTCAGTCGTACATTGGGAGACGTCTTTGTCTGTTGCCTTGTGTTTCCCACTGAGTGTGAGGTGAATCCTCTGGTTTTTACAATACGAAACTGCCAAGAATTATTTATCTTTTCCTGTCAGGTTATTTTCGTATACTGTTTTGATCTGTGGCTTTGTGGTTTCATGGTCTGATTAAAGGGCTTAAAGGGCTTTTCCAGTTAAAGCTTCCTTATCTACAAAGACCAAGACTGTTGGTTTTAGTCAGCTTCTGGGCTTTTCCGTTCTCAGGTGTTGGTAAGAAGTAATCAGGAAGCATGGCAGATGCTAGGACAGGATTCCATGCTTCTGGCTTTTTAATTTTTCATTTTACATTAAATATACAGCTCTTTGTTAGGCCTCCATATGTGTTTTACAGGAGTCAAGTGGTCTGTAGTGAAACCAAACCCAACGTTCCACCTCATGAATATTCTCTGATACTGCTAGTCTAGACAGTGGTTCTTCCACATCACTTGAAGAATCTGTGCATCCAAAATACTACCAGTTGGGCCTCTCAGGAACAAACTCCTGCTGTAGGAAAACTTCTTTTTTTTTTTTTTCATATTTTAGGCCAGTTGTTGCTGAAATACATCCTCAAGCCGCTGATTTCATACCCATCTCTTCAGCCATTCACAGAAGAACTGTCAGATGTGGTCATCCTGCGTTTTAAGTGTGAGAAGCCTGACTTGGATCATTCCTCTCCTGTGGAGGTTTTTGACAAGATCAAGTTCGTTCTTGAAGTTCTTCACAAATACTTGCTGAGTAGGTAGTCCCTTTCTTTGGAATTACTGGGAAAGTGGGCTCAGTTGAACCATAAATTCAGTTGTCTTTTGATTGGGATGGAGGTTGTTCCACAGTCACAGCACATGGTTTAGATATGAAGAACATCTCCTTTATAAAATTATGGAACAGCTGAAAGATGCCTTTTTGACAGGAAGGACTGAATGAAATGGTGGAGGGTCATATCCAGGAAGCAGGGATATTAACATCCATTTCTGTTCTCTTGAATTCAGATGTGCCAGTTGAACAGCGTGTGGAAGACAAAAAGGAATGCAGAGTGACGCTGGCAGAACTGCTGGGTGATATGATATGGGAAGAGCTATCAGACTGCCTCATTCAGAACTGCCTAGTGAATTCAATCCCAACCAATAATAGCAAACTAGAGCAGTATATAGAGGTAGGCATCAAATGCTTCTGAATTTATATAGTGGAAATGCTGCATGACCAGCTTCAACAGAAAGCTGTTGTTTGCTTATCTAGAACTGTGCGTTTATCTCAGGTAAACCGTGGCTTGTTTTTCCTGTCCTATTAATGGTGCAAGGTCTCTGATCCAAGGACCTCAGGCCATATTTAACTAAGACCTGGAGGTTCTCAGGTGTGTGGCATAAGGCTCTTGTGTGAGCTTCTGTAAGAGGCTGAAGAGGTCTTGCACATGCTGATTTGGGATCTCTGGATTCCTGTGAATGAACTGCTGTGTTTGCATTTTTTTTTCTCTGTCTAGTGATCACAGCAGTTTCTTGTGTAGGCTACTTTTTTAAAAACTATCTTAATAAGAGTAGAATCTTTGCTGCTAGTGAAGAACACCAAAAGATACTTATCCTGGAGAAGCACCTGTTGACAGCAGCGATCATAGGGCAAACCCCCCAGTCCCTTTGCCCTAAGTAGCCCAGTGTAATGAAATGTAATCGGTTTCCTCCTCCGATTTTTGAATTAGGTTGCCAGCAAAGTCAGGAAACAAACTTGCAGCTAAAAGACTGGATTATTTTACAATCATGGCCTCCAACTGAGCCAGCTTCTCCCAAAAGATTGCTGTAGAACTGTGAGATAGTTCCCTCTAAAACTTAGTTTAATCTTTTGCTTTCGACTGAGTGGGGGAGTTTATACCCAGCTTTAATTTTGCTCTTTGATTTTAGGAGATTATAACTGGCAATTCACAAGTATCAATGTAGAATGTGTCTTCCTTCCTCAGGTGATTAAATCCACAGAGGAATTTGAAAAAGCCCTGAAGAACATGCAGTTTTTGAAAGGAGACATGACCGATTTACTGAAATACGCTCGTAACGTCAATTCCCACTTTGCCAATAAGAAATGTCAAGATGTGATTGTGGCAGCCAGAAATTTGATGACCTCAGAAATACACAATACTGTAAAGGTGCCTGTTGTTGCAATATCTTGTTTTCCTAGGTGGAAAAATAGTGTAGCAGGTCGAGAAGGCTTGTCTAGGACAGTTGAGGTTCTTTTTTTTCTTTCTTTTTATTTATTTTTTTTTGTAGAGCACTGACTACTTGTGATTATTTGGTGATTTTTGCAAACAACAGTTTTGAAGTCATCTTTAATAGTGCTCAAGTGGGTTATTTCACTACCAAGATCTTACTTAACATGTTTGAAGCTTACTTTTGTAGGCCTTTCTGGCGAGTGTCATAAGCGTAAGAAAATTTAGAGGATCACTTACAGACCTTGTTTCTAGGCATGAAGCACTGTATAGATTGCTTCATGGTCTGCTGTGTAGTTCATAAGCCATGAGACCTCCAAGGGTCTTAGAGGACTTCTGCAGCTTTGTATTTATCTTGAGTCTTAAATCAAGATTTTGTAGTCACAGAATCACAGAATTGTAGTGGTTGGAAGGGACCTCGAAAGATCATCAGGTCCAACCCCCCTGCCAAAGCAGGTTCCTCAGAGCAGGCTGCCCAGGTAGGCATCCAGACAGGCCTTGAATATCTCCAGAGAAGGAGACTCCACAACCTCCCTGGGCAGCCTGTTCCAATGCTCCGTCACCCTCACCATGAAGAAGTTCCTTCACATGTCAGTGCAGAACTTCCTGTGCTCTAACTTGTAGCCATTGCCCCTTGTCCTATCCCAACAAACCACTGAGAAGAGGTTGGCTACATCCTTCTGTCCCCCACCCCTCAGATATTTATAAAAGATATTTATAAGAGTCTTGCACAGACTCTTTTCTGTGGGCTCCGAATAACGTTCTATCTTTCTCTCGTTTTCCCTTAGATCACACCTGATTCGTGCGTAGCCCTACCAAAGCTTCCTGATCCTGGGTCAGGAGATCACTTAAACATGCAAAAAACATCTAAACAACTTCCTAAGGAGATCGTGAATTTGGAGAATGAGACCAGACTGAGCCAGTACACGTTCTCTTTGCCCACATGCCGCATCAGTTCATCGGTGGAGAAACTGATGGAACTGGCTTATCAGACACTGTTGGAGGCTACAGGCAGCACAGATCAGTGGTAGGAATTATATATCAGCAGGTAACCCCTGGGAGTCAGATATTTATTGCCTTTGGCAACTCTAAGCATCTGTTAATAGAGTAAAAGAAATATAAAAGAGCTGAAGATACTTAAAAATGAGAATGAATCATTAGTTACACTGTGTTTTGGCTGGAGGCTGCTCCCTGGGTTTGTGCGGTAGACTGGTACAGCAGGAACAGCTGCCGGGTATGTTCCCTGCAATACTCTTGTTAAGCAGTCTTTGAGGCTTATGTTCTGAGGGAACATTCAGGTAGGTTTTGCCATATTGTAGCTACTGCAGTGGTGAAAACGTGATGAATCCCTAGGGTGCACAGGGCAGCTCATGGCTTCAGTCTTTTAGTTGGAAAACACTCTACTGCTGTGTTCATTTTTTTATATTTTATCAGTGTGTTTCAATTATTTAGAAAGATAAAAAACATATCTTTTGTTCCATCCAAATGATAAGTTATGGCACCTATTCTGAGGAGAGTTCTTGCTTTCTTTTTTCATTGGCTGGATGAAAGCAAAAAACTCCAGCTCTGCATCTGGCAGGGCTCTTCCAAGAAAACAAGTAAACATTCTGAGAACCTACATAGAGTCGGTTTTAAAAACCGGAGACCACAACCCTGAAGAGGGAGAGTTTCCTAGGTACTGAATGCCTTTCACTGTACCGTGGCAGAAAGAGGGCTGACTACTTATGCATACCTACTGGGAGAAAGGACACTGTTCCCTTTGTTTGCAGGGTTTCATAATCTCGGTTCTGACATGTGGCCTGAAGTTCATCTCTTCCACGCTGAACTTACAAGGTCATCGCAGCTTTTGAGAGAAGCCTTTGTGAATTTTCCACGATGCTGCTTTTATTGACATTGCTGTAATTGATCTTGACAATTTGTCCCTTGTTTAGTAAGAAAAGCGTGCTTCACTACTAATAAAACCTTTTTTAAGAAAGCCTTGAGAGTCGCTTGGCAGATGAGACATTAATTCCACAGACAATCTAACATGAACCTTATTTTCTTTGTAGCTGTATACAGCTCTTCTACTCCGTGCGGAACATATTCCAGCTGTTTTATGATGTAGTACCAACATACCACAGGTAAGTGTATTTGTGCATTACTTAGGGCCTGTTTGGAGACAGAGCAGTGCTATTGGAATAGCCCCACTTGTTCCCTGTTTGTCCACCACTGCCAAAGATGACTAAGAGCTTCTTCTAGTGGGTACAAGCTGGTGCTCCTAATGCATTATTAAATTGTACCTGCTGCAGAATATTTGCCTGAGAGTTTCTGAGTTGGCAGTCTTATGACCAAAGAGATAGTTTTTAGTATTTCTTTGACGTGAATGGAATTGGTTTTGTGCCTGACAGCCCTTGTGTACATCGGAACACAGGAAACACGAGCTGAAGTTACATCTCTAGAACATAACTGAGTTTTGTAAGCTGTCTTATCCATCCATTAACTAACATAATAGTAATGGTTAGGTAACTAGAATAGAGTCCTTGTCCTTGGCGTTGACAGGGGTTAGCCTTTATGATTGTTCATGATGCTCTTCCTGTAATAAACAGCACCAGTGAAGACTTAAAGTATACAATTGTGTCCAAGAACACTGAGGTATTACCGAGAAGGACTTCTCTGTTTTCCTCAGTGTTACGCTGTAATCAAGAATCTTCCTGTTTGAAAGTTGTTTGTTAGAAATGATGCGAGTACAACACACAGTTGGAATGCCAAGGTTTCATTTCACTAGCCATAGAACTTCTTTCCTGAACATAAGCTCTTGTGTGGCTGTGGCAGGAGGTGAAGTACTTCTATTCCAACTGATGGCTGTATCAAGCATTCCTTTCAGTTATTTACATGCAACATCAACAACAGATGGGCTGTTTAGGGTATATATGACAGTTTTCTAACAGGGTCAGGTCTAAATACATACATTTCTTCTTCTTCCTTCTTCATGTGACAGAGAGAACCTTCAGAAACTCCCCCAACTAGCAGCTATTCATCACAACAACTGCATGTACATTGCTCACCACTTGCTCACCATGGGACACCAGTTCCAATACCGCCTGACGAACATCATGTGTGGCGGAGCGGCTACTTTTGTAGATCTGGTGCCTGGTTTTAGGAGACTTGGTAATTTTACCTTTTAGTATTCTATGGAGAGAAATTCTGAGATGGATAAGCTTGTACCAGTTTAACATGAGCCTGTCATCTATACTTAATTCTGCTACTCAGCTCTTTTTCAAAAGTGCTGTAGCAATCCAAGGTGTGCAAAAGCTTATTAAGTATGTAACAGCTCAGTTAAATTGGCCCAAAATAAGAAGTTTAAATTGACCCAAAATAATGTTTCTTATTCAGCGCTTACAGTCTCTTAAGTTGGCATAGGCAGAGCAAATTTAATAATTGCTTACTTGCTTCTCTCTGCTTCTTTTTGCTTCTAAAGGAATGGAGTGTTTTCTGGCCCAGATGCGAGTGCAGAAAGGAGAAATCCTGGAGAGGCTGTCAAGTGCCAGGAATTTTTCTAATATGGATGATGAGGAAAATTACTCTGCAGCAAACAAAGCAATAAGGCAGGTAAGCAAGGCAAACAAAGTCAAATATGCTGTTGTCTGTAGATGTTGTCCTTAGAAAGGTACCGTATGTAATATTAGTACTGAGAACTGTGCGCTGTTTCAGCAGAGTAAAATTTTGCAAAAGATGAATTTTCTGGCATGCTTTTTTCCCCCCTGGGCTGTGTCTCATTTTGTAGAACGCTGAGTTCGAGTCCGCATGCTCCAAGATGACATAGTTTCTTACTCTTGAACTTTTGTTTATAGTGTGTATCTAAGGTATTTCATTTTTCAAGGAAAACACCTGTGAGCCATAATGCAAACTGAAATTGTGGCATTTTTTCCAGGAGTGTCTGCTTTATGTGGTAGCAGGATGAAGTCATGGCCTTCTACTTCTTTAAAACTTTTCTGTCCATTTGCGCTCACCTTATCATTTTGTGCTTCTCTTAATGTTCTCTTTGATAACATGTTGGTAATGTATAGCTGTTGTCTTCCAGGTATTGCATCAGTTGAAAAGACTGGGGAAAGTTTGGCAAGATGTCCTTCCAGTGAACGTATACTGCAAGGCCATGGGGACCTTACTGAACACAGCGCTCTCAGAGATTGTCACTAGGATTGCTGCCCTAGAGGTAACTGCACGAGATGGGCCTGCCAGGCGTAGGGGTGGTGCTAACAGCTAGCATGTGTGACCTGTAGAAATTCTTCCTAAATTGAAGTTTCAGGGGAGCCAGTTGTAGTCTAAATCTTGAAGAGCCCCCCCACTGTGAATTGTGTGGCCTCTTCTCCTTTAATAGCTAAGACACTTGCTTATGCCATGCTTGCCAAAAAGCTTTGCTTTCATCATTGTGCTGGCGTTACCTGAGCGCTTTCCTTATGAACTGCTCCAGACCTTCCTCATAACCCCTCTGCCTCACAGTGAAATCCTTGTTAGTGCACCAAGACGTGCAGTTCAGAAGCAGAATCCTTGTTCTGAGGCAACTGCAGAGAAGTTGATGAAATAGCTATTTGTGAAATAAGTTACATTAGCTTGAAAATGTTAAATGCAATCCAAACCACTGCTTTTCATCTTCACACACAGAGCCCCATGTAAAAAAAAAAAAAAAAAAAGAAATTCATTTAGTGCTTGGCACTCCAAAGAAACATCTAACTGTTCTTTTTGTTAATGTTTTTTCAATTCTAGGATATCTCTGCAGAAGATGCAGACAGGTTGTACTCCCTCTGTAGGATCATGGTAGAGGAAGGACCCCAAGTTTTCACCCCACTCCCTGAAGAGGACAAAAATAAGAAATATCAAGAGGAAGTTCCAGTGTACGTGAAGAAATGGATGACGTTCAAAGAGCTGATGATCATCTTGCAAGCTAACCTCCAAGAAATAGTAGATCAGTGAGTGTCTTCCTTTTCAGTTAGTACTTCACCTGCTAACCAGGGAGCTGGGAAGTGGTCTGACAGCAGGGCACTGCATTCAGGAGAGCTTTTTCAGGTGAAACACAATCACTTTTAATAGGGACCAGATAGCTGCTCCTAGTGCCATTTTTTGGCTGTGTGTTTATAGTCCATTTCACTGGTCATATATTCAGCTGTCTCCTGCAGGTGATAAAGCAGTGGTAAAAAAAAAAAAAAGTGCCCCGGGAGAGCCAACCGCAGAGCAATTATACATCCCTCTTGACTTTTCTAAATTCAGAAGTACTTGACAGTAAGCAGCCAGGCATTTTGCCCCCTGCTTTTGATGTTAGCTGTGCCTTGCAACTGCAGCTATCATTCCATGTAATTGGTCTTCAGTTTTTAGAGACCGTTTCTTAGGTCTTTTAACTTGCAAGGGGTATTCATCTGAATTATACATGAGGATTTGCATTATTACTCCTATTACTTTAGTTGTCATGAGTTGTCAGAAGCTAGATGTTTCTTCCTCACACTTGGTTCACATGTCCATCTGAATGACAAGGAGCCATACTGTCCTCTAAACTGCAAAGTTTGTAGTAAGTGCAAGAAACACATTAAAACCTATTGCTTTTTATGCCTAATTAATTAATTCTGGACTCAAGTTGCATGCAGCTAGTAGGCTGCTAACTAGATTTGTTTTGGATCGAGATTTACTACTGTAGCAAACCTGTAAATGCTCTATGCTTTTAATTTATTTGAACCATTCATCACAGGAGTGGGAGAACTGCAATGGATTGTTGTGAATGCTCTAAGGCTTATTTTAACCTGAAGTTTCCATGAAGTTTTGTTAAATGAAGATCTTTCTTCCTTGTAGATGGGCAGATGGGAAGGGGCCTCTTGCCGCTGAATTCTCCCCAGCTGAAGTGAAGAGTCTGATACGAGCCTTGTTCCAGAACACGGAAAGAAGGGCAGCAGCACTGGCCAAAATCAAGTAACTGTTTGCTCCTACATGTTGCATCTTCTGATAAGGCAAGAATGAACTGAGAATCTTTATTTTTTGGATTTGATCTTTCTTGTACCGGACTACAAAAAGCTTGGCATTAGGTGTGTGCTTCCTGGAGGCTTGACTAAGGGAGGAGAAAAATTTGCTAGCTCACTCAGCAGGGCAGAGGGGATGGTTCTGTGAGTCTGAGAACAGGGAACCAGAGGTGGGTAACACATGGGCACTAACTGCAGCTGCTTTCTCTGCCACATGGAGTTTGGGCTTGAAAATTCAAGCTCTTGCCCTGCTCCCTGGAGGTGTTATGCCCAGATTGTAGTTGTGCTTTACAAGCTGGTGCGTATACAGTCCTGGTGAAGAAGAGATGCTTTTTGTGGTATTTGCTAAATTCTATCTTCTTGGATTTCATCTTCTTGTAAGCCCAGCACAGGCAAATAAATCAAGTTCTTTATCTGAACTCCTTGTGAGACTGAGCACTGCTGGCAGGTGGGCCTCTCAGGCAAGGTGCTGTACAGTGTCATCTCAAGCTTGCTTGCTTCAGGGTCTTGCAGAGGGATTGTTATTTCTCACTTGTGAATCTTACCTATGCAGTTTTACATCAGGGGACGTGTCCCCCCTTTGTGTCTTACCTCTTCTGTCCCTGCAAATTACATACGAAACCCACAAGCAGTGGTAGCTTTTGGTGTCCTTCTAAGAATGCTGAAGTGCCAAATTCTGCTCTTACCCACCTGTTTTGTTCATGTTTCCCTGAACAACACACCTCAAAAGAGTGAAAATTATATGGGGGGAGAGGAAACCCTGTTTCAAGTGAAATGTTTACTGAGTCAGAGGGTTTCGCACATGTGACAACATTCCTAATGGATTTATTTCTCTTGGGACATATCTTAAAACTGAATTCAAAGTTTTCAATCTGACTTTGCCAGCCATGAAAGCCCGTTCAGCTCCTATTTTTAGCTTTTGATTTGTGTATGAATTTACTAGGTCTGGCATCTATTGTCTTTTTGATAGCAACTTTACTGTACTTTAAGAACTATATAAATGCTAGTAAATACAAGGGAAGTAAAGGGAATTAAGTGTGCACTTAGAAGATAATGTTCTAAGTTACGAAAGGCTGTTTGGGACTTCAAAAAATGCACATTTATTTTATTTGGAAAGCTTTTCAATTGCATTTGTTGAAATGTAGCCCAGATCCCAAGATGTGCCCCTTGCTGCACAGAGTATTTCCTGCTACGTAGTGGTTTGTAAGCACGTCATGACCTGCTTACACAAGTTTTAACCGTAGAGCTACACCTTTTAATGTTACCTATCATTGCATCCTTTTTATTTGGATGTCTGTCTGGCTTCTCTGTGCATTCCTGAGCATTTTGGGGGATACCAAAATTACAGCTGGCTTTTACATTGCACCCGAATCACAGCAGAACCTCATGGCTGGTCTGTGTGCTGGATCAGCCAGGCATAGCCAGATCTGGGGCCGAGGAGACTCCTTGGTGTGGGCCTTAATTAGTAGAAGCCTGGGTAATTAGTAGAAGCCTGGGGAGGCGACAGGTGCAGTCAAGTTCCCATTTACACTAAATCCAGCCTCTGAGAATGCAAAAACAAAGGCAAGCATTGATCCAAAATCTGTCACTCTAGCTTTTCCTTTTTTTTTCCCTTTCACTACTTTAAGTAATTCATTTGAGGGTTGACAGTGTTCCCATGACGCTTGCATCTCTTGGGAGCCCTTGCCCTTTTATAAATGGGAAACCAAAAAATTGATATTTTGAAAAACACCACTTCTCTCACGTGGATTATTCACAGAAATGTAATATGCTATTTTCTTTAATAAACTATTTATACTGGCCCTGTTTTCTGGTGTTGTGTGGGGGGATTCTCATATGGTTACAGTAACAGTATGAAGCTGGACCTTCGGAACAGGCAAAACGTTGTTCTGTGACGTCTCTCCTTTGCTTCTAGTAGATCTAATAATAAGAAAATTAAAAGGGAAAAATAAATAATTGGTGCTATGCTGTGGGGTGGGAGGTTAGCCCAGAGATCATGCAGCAAGGGTGAGCATGGGGTAGTAACAGGTAAAAACAGGTTGCTAGCACCTGGATTTTTCTAAGCAACGTGCCTGGCTGCAGGTCAGGCTGAACACACACCTTTGTCTGTCCCACGCTTACCTCCGTGGTGCGATAAATCCAGGGCAGAAGCTGAGCCACGTTGGTGTACACCCCGGGGTGGTTGGGCTCGGCACAGCCCTGGCCCCAGCTCACTACGCCTACCAAGCGCCACGTGAGATCGTCCTGGCAAACCAGGGGGCCCCCGCTGTCCCCCTGCAAGAGAGCAAGGACTGAACATAGCAGGGACCTACCACTTACTGCTCATTTCTCCTCTGGCTGTGCACACCCCCCTGCTCTGATGCTCCCTCCCGTCACCTGGCACGCATCAATCTTCCCCTGCGGGTAGCCGGCACACAGCATCCTGGCCGTGAGCTCTCCTTCGTACATGCACGAGCTGTTGCACCTCCTGGTGCTAATTAGGGGAACGAGCGCTTCCTTCAGAGTCTCCGTTAGCTGTGCTGGGGAGGGAAGAAGCCAGGAGGGAAATGAGACCTCCAGGAAGCAGGAAGGGGAGAGCAGGGCAATGGAGCTGAAGGGTCAGGAGGAAGATGGGGTCTTAAGGGATTAATGGGGGTGCAGGACCTGGTGCAGCAGGGAAAGGGTGGACCTTGGGGGAGCAGGGAAAGCTTCAGGTCAGCACAGAGGCACAGGGACAAGCTGGGGGCTTACCCTGGTCTGGTCTGGTGTAGCCCCAGCCTGAGACCCAGCAGGGGGTGCCCGGGAAGAGGTCCCGGTGGGAGGGTGGCAGACACACAGCACGGATGGCATCTGGTGGGAAGGGGACACGGTGAGCACCAGGACAGCACGGGGCCGTGCAGAGCAGGCACAGCCGGGGCTGTGGAGCTGCCAGCACACAGAACTCGGCCTGCAGAGCTGCTCAGCCCCGCAAATGGAGGTGAAACTCCCTTGGACCAGGCCTCTGACAGTTTCAGCTCCTACAGCCTCCTTCCCCAGCACAGCTGGGAGCAGGGCACTGCTGGGCACGCTGCCTCCAGGTGCCCGGAGAGGCTGGGGACCCTCTTAAGCAGCTTCTCCCAAAGGGCAGGGTCAGAGCAGGCTGATTTCCAGCCCTCTCTTGCAGACAAACTGCAGCTGGGGGCAGGCCACAAGAGCAGCTTACCAGAGAAATTCAGGGGGACGTGGAGCTTCATCAGAGCAATGTCATAGTCGAGGCTGCTGCCGTTATAGAGCGGGTGGGAAATAACCTTCTCCACCGGTACCCCAGCCTCCTGCTCGACGGAGCCACGGGCAACACCAGCACCCACCAGCCAGCCGGAGCCGTGCAGCCGCCTGGAACTGAGCGCACGGCTACCTGAGCACCACAGCCCCCAGCTTGCACCCCAGGGCTCCCCGCATGGGCACCCAGAGCCCCCCTACCTGTGCAGGCAGTGTGCTGCGGTCAGGATCCAGCGGGGCGCCAGCACCGAGCCCCCGCAGCGGTGCCGGGAGCCGTGGCGCACGCTCACCTGCCAGGGCCAGCGCCCGGGGGCTGCATCCGTGCCCCCGACCACCCGCAGGGCCCCAGGGCGCAGCCCACAGTCTGCATAGTGGCCGTGAGGGACTGGGAGGGGGCTGGCGGAGGGGCAGGGGGGAGACGGAGGCACCGACCTGAGCACCGCAGAGCCACGATGCGTCCCGACTCGCAGCTGCTCCTGCACAGGGTGAACCTCTGAGAAAACTGCAGGGTGCTCGGGGAGATGCAGCAGGCCCCAACGGGGCTGCTTGCTAGGGCAAAACCAGCACAGTTTTCTGCCCATCTTAAGCCTGAAAAGGTGTTTTTGTGCCTCCAGCAAAGCCTGACGTAGCCTGGGACTGCCCGTACCTGACCTCCCACAGGTCTTCCAGGCTGCCTTCGTGGCCGGGTCTGACCTGGACGAACTCCTGGGTGTCTTTCACCTTGACATCCGTCAGGTTCACTCCCTTCTGCTGGGTCATCCTGCAGGAACCATCCCAGGAACCATCCCAGGAGTGGTTCCTGCCCCGGCACCCTCCCTGCCCCATGGCCAGGAAGGTGCCCAGGTGGCTGCAGCCACCTCCTGTGACTCCCCCTGGCCGCCCCAGCCCCGCTCAGCTCCCCTGCCCCCCGTCCCTGCCCACCGGAGCGCCCCGAGGTGCCGGCAGAGCTGGGTGCCCATCTTCAGCCCCCATTGCTCGTGGCAGGCCAGCAGCCAGCCGGGACGGCCGCGCACCCGCGCTTCCAGCAGCGAGCTGTCCACATTGATCCTGAAAGACACTGAGGGCAATGCCGCAGGATTTACAGGGTGAAACAATTGCAGCACACAGCCGAAACGAGCTCCTGGTTCAGCAGGGACAGATTCGTTATTAAAGAGCATCTTTTCTGCTCTCACTGAGCCTGCCAGGGGTAGGGGGGAGTTAAAAACCTCTGCCAGGAGCCCCGCGGACCACGGGCTCGTCCTCTTCACCCTCACCACACTCCGGGGTCACGTCCTGGCTCCTGCGGCAGGGCAAAGCCCTGGGCTGGCTGTGGGATTTTGAGGTGCCTCGCTTCAGGAAGGAGAGAGGAGGGCAGGGGTGAGACCTCAGGGCCGGGCAGCCCCCGGCAGGGGCACTGGGAGCCGGGCAGCACCGTCCCCACGCAGGCACTGACCCAGCAGCCAAGCCCCCGCCGCCAGCCCCGCCAGCAGCACCGCGGCCCCCAGCAGCAGCCTCGGGATGGTGCAGAGACTCCTGAGAGACGCCTCAGCAGAGCCTTTAGGAAACAAAGGGAGAGGACGGACACCATCTCCTCCGTCCCTCGTGGCACCACCAAGCCCCTGGAGAGGTTCTCAGGGCACTGGGGCCCGATTTTGGGGCCCTCCAAACCCTTTGGCCTGAAGTGCCACCAGGGGATGAGCTAAGGCCATGCATCCTGCAGAAGGTCAGGACCTGGGGGCTCCCCCTTGCTCCCCAAAGCCCGTAATTTTCTCACCAGTGTCCCGGGGACGCCCCTGGCCTCGCTTCCCTCAGCTCTGCTGTCAGGCTCTCGTGGCTCTGTGCGGTGTCCCCGATGCCGGGCAGGTTTTGGGGACAGCTTTCAGCCTCAGCCGGCCCCTATGGAGAGGAGCAGGGTGCGGGTCAGGGGCAGGCTCCTGGCAGGGAACGGCTCCATTTGAGGCAGGGGGGCCGCGAGGAAGCGCCGCTCACCATGCCCATAGCACAGCGCCTCTGCCAAGCTGCTGGGCTGTCCCTCGGCACAGACCCAGCTCCCGGCCCCTTGTCCCTGGCTCCCCTCCACCTCCCTCCCTGGCTCTGTCTGAGCAACCCCAGCAGCTGCTGGGCTGCCCCAGCCCCAGCCCCAGCCCCAGCCCCACCTGCCACCTGCCGGCCCTCCCCTCCCCTCCTCGCTCACCTGCACACACCTGAAGAGCAGCCACAAGCTCTGGGCTCGAGCAGGGGGCTGTGGGTGGTGGGCACTGAGTGAGGAGCCCCTAACAGCTACCTTTATTAGAGGAGACCTTGGGGAGCAAATTGTTTTAAGCTGGGAGAAAAATGAGCCAAGACACACGCAGGTGCTCTGGATCAGCCCCGCATCTCGCACCAGCTGCAGCTCTGTTCCTGTGGGCTGCTCTGCCCAGGTGGAGCCCCCCTCGCCCAGCCCCTCCTGGCCCCCCCTGTGCCCAGCAGGGCTGCAGGGAGGCTGCAGGGCAGCAGCCCCAGGCAGTGAGCTGAGTGCTTGGCCCCCCGGCAGCTCCTGGGGTCCCACAAAGAGCCGCAGCACCCACCCCCTGCCCGGCCTCGTCCCTCCTCGTGCTGCCCCTGCAGCTGGCTGCACCCCTCAGAGCCGGCACTGCTTCCATCTCCAGTTAAACCATTTAAACCCCACCGTCTGCTGCAGGACAGGGGTGACCGAGCGGCAGTTTCAGCCTGCCCGAAAACCAAGAGGCAGCCCGGGAGAGCAGTGTCACGAAAACAAGCAAACAAAAGCCCTCTTCTTGTTTACACGCTCCTCCAGCCCAGAGGACACAGCTGACGGCTTCTCACTCAAAAGATGGATGAATTTTTAATGCCATTTACTCGAGGGAACTCCCATGGATATCCCCTGACAGCCCCGTCCTGCAGGCTGGGGCTGAGGCTTGGTGGGGGCACCCCACGGCCCCTTCCAGAGCCAAAGGGCAGAGCTCAGCACTTCACAGGGCCCCCAAATCAGCCCTGGGAGCTGCTGGGCTGTCCCTGCTGGCTCCGGAGCATCTCAGAGCTCCGAGGACTGCAGGTGGTGCTGGAGGACTGGGGAGCCCGCTGGGAGCACTGAGGCAGCGCCCAGGAGCTGCTGAGCCCCTGTGCTGGGGGTGCTGCAGGAGCAGCTCCATCACCCCCCTCTGGGCACCCCAAAACGCCTTCCCTGCACGCTCCTAAAGGGAAGAAGCTCGAGGCAGAGGGGTGAGAACCAGCTCCCAAACCCTGCCTCAGGAGCAGGTACGAAAGCCGAGGCCCAGCCCAGCCCGTGCTGCCTCGCTGCTCTGAGTCAGCCGGCGTTTCTGCACTTAGAGCTCATTAAAACAGGCTCAATATTTCCCTCAGTTCTGCCCACCTGCAATAAGAGAGCAGTGACTGAAACGAGAGAGCTTTCAAGATTAAACACCAGCACACGCGTGTGAAGGCAGGGAGGAGAAGATACAGCTTGATCTCCTGCTTCCCACCGCCCTGCTCAGGCTCTTTAGAGACGTAAAATAAAAATAAATAAATATAATAAATATAATAATAATAATAATAATAATAATAATAATAATAATAGCTCCCCAGGGCTCTCTGGGGTGAGCAAACAAGGCAACGTGGCCACCAGCTCGGGGCCTCGCCTTGCCTGAGCCCCGTGTTGGATCATTTCCTTCCTTAGCTCATTCCTTCTCTGTCTCCCTCAAGTCCCCTCTCTCATCAAAGTGCTTCTCAGTGAGATAAGGCAGCTGCTGGAAGCCCATAATGAGAGAAATGGCCGAAAGCACCAGCCTAAAACCTACCTAATCCTGGTAGCAGCCTGCCAAATCTCATCAGGGATAATGAATCCTGGATGCTCTGATTGTGGCTTCCCAGCAGTGATGCTGCGGTCAAAAAAAATAAATAAAATTTAAAACCAACAGTAGCCCCCCCAACACCCTTCCTTTCCCCACAAGTTTCCTGACCCCTTTTCACCTCCTTTTCCCCCTGCCCTCCTATTACCACCTTTAGGGGGTTTATCAGCAGGATCTCTGGGCACCTGAGGGGTTTCAGCACCCTTGCAGGTGGGGGCAGCACTCCGGCGAGGGCAGCTTTGTGCACAGCACCTCCGGGCTGAGCTGTCCGTGCCCTGCCACCAGCTGCAGCAAGGGAGCTGGCAGCACACTTCATCTGTCCGTAGGTCTCTGCAGGGAGCGTAAAGCAGCCGGCCCTACACTGCCTGTTGCAGTCGGGGCAGAGCTCAATCTCAGGCTTGCAAAACGCCGCCCTCGTGTCACCGTAAGAAGTAAGACCTGCCCGAGCACATCTGACTAAATCATTCATCTCGCCCCGCATCTCGTCTCCAGGAGAGGCCAATATCCCGAACCTCACAACGGGAAATTATTCAGTAAGACTCCTTGTAACCCCAGGCAGCAGGGTGTAGTGACACGAGGGAAGATAGTTTATATCTGGTATGCGCTTACCCTGTCTAATGGAAGCGCGCATCGCTCCATATTTCATATAAACGTCCAGTCCTATTTGGACATTTCCTCGGAATAAAAAGTTGTTCCTCTAAACTCGACACGTTGTCACTGCATTGTTCATTGCAATGATTTATTCCACGTCCTCTGTTCTCGGAGCGCTCATCCCAAAAGACGGTGAATAAAGTCCTGTGTAAGATAATTTGTTAAGGCTGACACCAGCAGGGAAAGGCGGGTGCACAGGCAGAGAGCAGACGATGCTCCCGGAGCTGCTGGTTCTTGCTCTGGGCCCCCCTGCCCTCCGGTCCTGGTGCCAGGGCAGCCCCAGGCACTGCTCCTGCCTGCGAGCCTCCTCCCCGGGGCGATGGGCTGCTGGTGACTGCAGAGCTGGGGGAAGGCAATTTCAGGAAAATGAGTTTCTCTGTAGAAGGAATTGAAGGGAGAAACTTCCCTAATAACCTGCTGGGATCATTTATTTAAAGAGCAGCTGGCACCTGCACTGAAGCTGAACGGAGACAGCTCGGAGGCAGCTCTGTGCTGCACCTTCCTGGGGCTGGGGCAGGGGCAGGGGCAGGAGCTGTGCCTGCCCTGCCAGTGCCAAAAACAGAGGCTCCTTCCCCATCCCGGCAGGCACCAGAGAAGGGACGACAACCCCCAGGGACCGTGAGTGCCCGGCCACCCTCCCGCACCCCAGGGAACGTGGCTGGGCCCTGGATCCTCATCCATCACCCCCTACATGCAGAGTTTACAGATGCCAGGGCTGAGATGGTTTCGTTAGCTGTGTCATGTTCTGGTGCAAACACACCCCGAGGGATTTCTTCTCAGAGAAGAATCAAAGTAGAAGCAATCGTTAAGGAGAAATTAATATTATGGTCATTCTTCTCCATCTCCAACCACTTCCTACGGTCGCTTTGCAGTCTGGCCCTGCCCTGACGTGGTGCTGGCGACCCACAGAGATCCACGAGGGGACAAAATGAATTTAAGGAGCGGAGTGAAATACATCAACCTCTGTGTTTGTGTGCAGGAATTCCCAGAACTCTCACTCTCGATGCCTTGTGCTCCTTTTGGAGCCGCAGGGAGCGCACCTTGCTGTGACACCGACCAGCCTGAACTACAGCGGGGAAAAATGGGAATAAATCTCACATCGAGCCCTGCGGAGGTTTGCAGAAGAAGAAACCCAGATGTGTGACAGTTCCCTACAGAGCAGCTATGTAAGAGCCATCCAGAACACTTCGGCAGGGTTGAAGCTGGGCTAATAAACCCTTCTGTGAGATGGCACTAAGTGCCACCAGGGAGCGGGACAGCGGAGTGCAGTTGGACACCAGCTATTATTCCATCAGAGGACAGCTAAATAGGCAGCTGTACTTATCTGGATCCTAAAAGCATCCTTGAGCATACAGCCTGCAGGTACTAGGAGTGCATTTACACCATCACCATTATTTTTGTCCCTGTGCATGCCGTAATGCAGGCACTTGGGATGCTGCCGGCCCATGCAGGACCCACGCCGTGTGCCTTTCAGCAGGGTGCTGGCTGCAGCCTTCCCTCTAGTGCTTGTCGGAGTGTGACTCTGCACGGGTTACTGGCACTGACAGGAGGCAAGGCTTACAACAGATTGCCTCGGGCTGCAGACAGGTCTGGCTTAGGGACAGCAATACAGAGCTGGGAGTGGAGAAACGTTCCCGAAGCACCTTGCTCGTGTCCTCATCAACCCAGCACTGTCTTCCAAAACGTGCTCGACAGAAAAGCACCTTCTGCACGTCCACGTGGGGCCCTGCCTCATCTCTGCTCATCAACATCTCCTCCTAATGCCTTTATCAAATAACATCTTTAAATGGTTGGGCTTGCTGGCTCCCAGGGCTCCTGTTAGCAAGCTGCTGCTGAGCCCGGGAGTTGTGCAGGTCCTGCAACGTGCTGGATTTCATCTCACAGGCGCTTCGTACTGGAGTGCCCTTGCAGCACAGCTTGTTTCCTTTAAGGAGTTTTTCCTCCCTCTTCAGTTCATTCTCCTTCTAAGTGCATTTATAGCCTGCAATCATTTTCCTCTCAGCCTTCATTTCGCCCAGCCAAACAAGCTCAGCTTTGGGGAGCCCGTTCCCCCCTCCCCTTCCTGGCTGAATTCACCGTTTTCGATATGAATGACCCATTATGCCAATGAGGTTTCAAGCCTATTAACATCTTCTCGTTCTCCTGGGACCACCTTCCTTGATGCAACTTTTCACAGCCCACTGCGCTTCTATTCTTACCCGCTGAGAGCCCCTCACTTACTGCAAACGTTACCATTACTCACTGCATACATGAGCTTCTCTTTTCTCCACCCGAAATCATCTCCCAGATTTGATCAGGAATTGTAAATAGCTTAATTTCCTTCTGAAGCTCAATTGCTCGGGGAAGGAGGGAGCATTTATTACTCATTTAAAACGTCTCTCCTGGCTCTGCTTTCCCTACTGGTGCTCCAGTGGTGGCAGAGATGCCCTTCACAAACTCTGAGGGCAGTAATCTGATAAATCATATCCCTGGTTCTGACACCATATGCTAAATCTGCTCTGAAAGCCCCTCCTTTTGGGTCAGATTTGTTCAGTGCAATTACACAACTACTAATTGCATTGCATCAGAGTCCAG